CATTAAAATAGTATAAAATACCGACAGGTTGTTAGGTAAGACACATATGCAACAGTTAGGTATCTTTATTTCGAAACGTTTCGCCTACACAGTAGAGAGATTTTAACCATCCAATTGATTTTCAAAAAGTTGAGAAAGTAGTATCAAGCAAGTCCATGGTCGACAGGAATATAATTGAATCTTGTTTCATAAAAAGCAGTTTTGACAATAATATGAATATTTCCTTTGGTTTATATAAATTAGATCCATTTATAATTAATAGAATTTGGGAAGAATTTAATAATACACTGGACAAATAATAATTTTAAAAATTTTCTTGGGTAGAATAGTTTGTTGGTGGGTTGTGCAAAGGACCTGTCCAGTTGGGCCGGCGCGCGTCAGGTGTTTAACCGTTTTGGGATCTGATAGTGAGGTGTTGGCCAGACCCCTTATATACCTTCCTTAGATGCTTTACTTTCATAGTTCCTTGATAATGTGAGTAGTCACGAAAGCGCTTGGAATTTCTCTATTCTTTCAGAGTGGTTGTTTTGCATATATTTACACACACACACACACACACACACACATATTATATATATATATATATATATATATATATATATATATATATATATATATATATATATATATATATATAATATATATATATATATATATATATATATATAATATATATATATAATATATATATAATATATATATATATATATATATATATATATATATATATATATATATATATATATATGAGAGAGAGAGAGAGAGAGAGAGAGGAAACTAATATTTCTGGGAGGAGTGCTGTACCCTTAAGAGGTACAGCACCAGGGAAATGAGGCAAATAGGTTTGATCGAAGGAAGGAAAGCACAACTCCAGCTTCTTAGATCAAGAACCCCTCACCGTCGTGAAGGAACTTCTCTTTTGGGGGGGGATCCGAGTGTGTACTTACAGCTAAGATTATCAGGGCGTAGCAGGTGACGGTGACCAGGACGGGCACCATTGTACTAAAGAGGAAGTAGATCACATCGATTCCCTTCCACACCTGGCGATCTATCTGGTAGCCTAGCAGTTTTGGGCATCGTCACGCCCTGAAAACGAGAGAAAGATTTTGTATAACATCTATGATATAATGTGTATAATGTGAAGAAAGGAAGTCACAATATGCTGTATTAACACTTCATATATAAGACTTACCAGTGTTGTGAGGACGGCGAAGAAACCGATGGAAACCACCACAGCCACGGCTACTCGCAGCCTCAGAATATGTACTTGGGGCGACCACAGTGCCTTCATTCTGGTGACACATGCCGTAAACATGTAATGAATTTAACGAATTTTTGTTCATGTAACGCTAAAATGCACAGCAAATATTGTCCTATTTGAAGTCATGTTTATACGTATTTTTTTAGATTTTATTTAAAACATTGCATAAATACAAGGAGAAATAAAATCATAAAATGGTACTATGATAGTGGATATGAAAAAAAAAAAGAAAAAAATTCGACACCATGCCCAGCCCTTTTAGGGTAGGGTAAGTGCGTGAGCCCGAGCTTGCAGCTGACAAGCCTGTCATTCCCAGTAACCCCCTTGGGGCGGGGATGGCAGCCCAGAGAGGCCTAGTTTCTAGGCCTGGGGACAGTTGGTTCCAAAAATGAGGGGGTACTTGTTCCTCCTCCCATGGGAAACTTAGCTCTCAGACATTCCCATGACAGGGAGCCAAGGCCGGGCCACCACTTGGAAAAGGCCCGGGCCGGGAGAATACCGGCGAATCTTTAATAATAATAATAAATAAAAGAAAATCAATATTACAACCCTTACCCATAGCCCACAACAAGCTTTCAAAACCCGGTTTTACACAAAGTGTTAACATTGCTGACGCTTCTCCCCCCCCCCCCACACTCCGAAAAAATATATCCACGTTCACCACCTGAAGAATCACAACATTGATTTAGTAACATATCTTGAATTCGTCAGTAATAAGTATTTACAAGCACTGATGACATAGGAACACCAAACTCACAACATACAAATGACATATTATTAACAAAAGTGTAAACATTTCATCCCTAAACACATGTACACCTCTACCAGGCAGAGAAAAATACACCTGCAAGTGATAAATATCATTAATAACGTACCACTATGAAGTACAAGCTCTACGTATTCTGATACGAGTAAACCTTGCTACTGTCTTACCTGAAGAAGGACACTGCAGCAATAGCTAGCAGCTCCATTTGAGCCAGAGTGCTATACACGATTCGCAGAACATACTTGAGAGAGCTGTTGAAACTGACTACATCGCATGTGAGGATGGCTGTAATGACCTGTGCAGCAATAGGTCTCGTCACCAGACACAGCAGCAGGAGGGGCAAGAACACAGTGTACAGCAGTAACTTCACTGCTGGTTTTGTTTTGTTACATGTCACCACGCACCATAGTGCCACACTGTTACCTGCAAGAGGGTCATACACGTTCGAGAGCATTGATTTAGGTTTGAAAAAAAAAACTGCTTTCAAAAAACAAAAAAACAAAAATCTGCCTCTTCTCACTAAGGTGAGAGGAGGCACATATCAGTGGAATAATGACAGCAATGAAAACAAAAGATAACAGAATGCAATTATTTTTAAGAGGCCCTCGCCAGCTAATTTCCTTTAACCTTCCTCTCTCACATTTACACTTCCCATGCTAAAAATCCAATAGATACAGAAAGTTTTCCAAGTTTTGGGCAAAAGGTATTCGTGTACTTAATGACGTTAATTAAAAAAATGAATTCACTGTCTCCTATGTCTTCACCAATACCCCTCGTAGTAGAAGCACAAGGGACGAGATATGAGTTATTGACTGGCGTGCGGGAAGAAACACTTCATATAAGCAGAACTAACTGCACCCATATTTTTTTATATATAAAACGGAACATATAACAAAATTCGCTAATTAAGACGTCGACACATATTGTCCAGAACATACCGAGGGACCCGAGGACGAAGACGACGTAGCAGTGCACATAAGCAGCCAACAGGAGGTTAGGGGAGGTAAGACGGTAATAAGGTGGTATCTCACCAGTTTCAGTACAGTTCGGGCAAGCTTCACTGCAGTTCGCCGTCACATTCATCTTCCTGTGTAATCAATACATTTGTATTAATCTGTCGACATACTACAGAAAATGTATTTAAATGTTTGAGTAAGGTCGTAGAAAATAAACACGAAAAGCTTCGAGTTGTATTTTTTGATCTCCAACTGAGCCTCTTATATTAGCCTCCTCATATTGCACTTTTGATACTCACTGCTTGTATAACTACTACATCATGAAAACTGTAAACTACAGAAGCATGAGGATCTCTTGCTCTGCATAATCTCACTATGCAGCATATGGTACTTACTGTACCAAGTTAATCTTATCTCGTGGTAATTCAGCACTCAGGCATTCGTCTCTCGACCACTGGGAAGAGAGGATGCTTCTTGAGTCTCCCTACACGCCACCTGGTGGTGACTGCTTGACTTAGGCACCAACATGGCAGATCGTATCAACAGGAGATTGAATACTGTTTGTATTGAATTAGTTCGAGGAACGTTAAGCAGTGCGACAATGCATGTACTGTTATCGGCCATAATTAGGGACGTCTACGGGATACCGAACGATGAATTGTACGGTGTCGCCCTTAATGGAATGACAAGGGTTTTTGTGAAGTTTACAAGAGCCGGCTTTTACACCAGGATTGTGGATGAATTTCAGGAAAGGAGGATGAGTGTGAACTCAACAGTAGAGGTGTGTCTACATGATGTCTCAAAATATTACACGTGGGTAAAGGTACGTAATGTACCCTTCGAGGCAACGTCCTATGGCATTCAGGAAGCCTTCAGTAATTATGGAACTGTTCATACGGCTAGTATGGGGGTGTGGAGGGATGGGCCATTTGAAGGGCTGCCCGAGGGGTCCTGCACCCTGAAGATGTCATTGAGGCGGCCAATACCCTCGTATGTTACGCTGACAGGCTATAGGACACAGGTATTTGTCCACTATGTGGGGCAGAGGAAAACTTGCCGATTATGTGATTCTTACGAGCATATGGCAGCACAGTGTCCTCGAAGGCAAGCCCCTAGGATGGCGTTATCATGGATGGTGGAACAGCAACCGTGCAACGTGGATGTGGAGTTGGGAGTTGCAGATGGACAGAAGACGAATCTCTGGAGTGAGGAGGTGGACAAGGTGGAAGAGGTGATGGGGACGTGTGTTACCCTCCCAGAGGTGACAGGGGAGAGGCCCCCATCGCCTGAGGGAAGGGTGGACGTGGAAGAGTCTACCCAGGAGAGGATGTTGGAAGCAGTGCTGCAGGAGTTCTTGGACGAGCCGGAGGCTGGGGAGGATGGACCCGAGAAGTTAAGTGAGGTGCAGCTGACGGATGAGCAGCATGGACAGGTGGAGGGTTCGAGGAATGACAGAGAGGACAGGGAAGTGGTGGTGGAAGTCCATCAGGAGGACTCGCAGGAGGTAGATATGTGTGTGAGTGAGAGCTCACGCAAAAGGACTGCGGGTGCCTTGGACCTCGATGAGGTTTTAACACCTGGGCAGAGACCTGGGAAGAAGTCATGGGTAGCTGTGGGGGAGAAGGCAAGCAGGGGAGGGGGTGTACCGGGGAAGCTCAGTGGGGGAGGGCAAGGAGGGGTTGGTGGACAGGTTAGGAAAAATGATAAAAATGGTACAGGTTACTATGAAATGTGAATTGAGTAAGACACAGCGGCATAGGGTAAGCCACCTTTTCTGGAAGTTCAAGTGTGTCACAATAAATGTAAATGGTCTTAAATCTGAGGTAAAAAGGGTTTTGGTTAGAATGTGTTTTTATGAAGGTTTGATGTAGATGTATGTTTTTTGCAGGAGCATAACCATAGGTTAGGGTGTGAATTGCGTTTGCGGGGTTATAACCTATTTGTCAGTAATGCTTTGCAATTAAAAGGAGGGGTGGCAGTGGCTGTAAAGGAGACCAGCCCATTGCGTGTCATGGGTTGGGAGGAGGGGGGGAGGGGGGAGGGTCGTAAGGGTAGATGGGCACTGGGTGGGGTGGGGAGAGTATGTTTCATTGGTGTTTATATGCCGGCATGCAACAATGTTAGAGTGAAAGTTGATTTTGTTCGTGATGTTTTGATGTATTATTTGAGGGGTTTACCTTCCATAACTGTACTTGGGGGTGATTGGAACTGTGTGATTAGGTATGGGGATGTCTCACCAAGGGGGGCAGGATGTGTCTTGGGTGCTCTAAGGGATGTGTTAAGGGATGTAGGAGTTGTAGATGTGGTGGGGAGGGGGGAGTATGGGGTGGAGCACATGTTCATTCGTGGGAATTATGAAGCGAGGTTAGATAGGATATATGTGATGCAGGGGATTGGTGTGGAGAAAGTGAGGGCTTTTGATGTCGGTTTTTGGGATCACAGGGCGGTGATAGCTGATCTGCGGGTGGATGGTATAGTACACATATATGCTGGGTATTGGAAATTGAATGTGAGGCTTCTGCAGGATGGGGATGAAGGCTCTTCCTTTGAGGAATGGTGGAGACATTTCTGGGATGGTAGGGATGGTGAGATGGATTTGCTTGACTGGTGGGAGATGCGGGCTAAGGCAGGAATCGCAGAGTTCTTCAGGATACGTGGAAGGGAACAGGCACGGTGGAGATATGGTTCGCAAAACTACCTGGAGGGACAGCTGAATGCTGTTTACGAAGGGGGGGTAGGGAAGGTATGCGAGGGGATGTGGTTGGTTTAAGGAGTAGGATTGAAGAGTTACATAATGAAAGGTTTAACGTGATTAGAGTTAGGGCAGGGTTAGAGGAGGTGTTAAAGGGTGATCGACCATCAGGTTATGTCCTGAGAAAATTTAGGGAAAGGCAGATGGTGACTACCATAGCACATCTAGTGGTCGCTGATGGGGGGGGGGGGTTATGTGGTGGGTCAAGGTCTTACCGATACGGATGACATTAGCGTTTATGCTGATTATTGGTTTAGGGAGAAATGGAGGAGGAACACGGAAGTTGCCAGTGAGGAGGTATTTGGTGTTATGCAGAATACTATTGTATTGGGACAACAGGAACAGGAAATGCTGGAGGGTAGTATTAGTGAGGAGGAGGTCTGGGAGGCGGTTTACGGGATGAGTCAGGGTAAGACGCCGGGCATTGATGGAATACCGAATGATTTTTATAGAGTTTATTGGGAATGCATTAGGTATTGGTTAGTGGAGGTCTTGAATCATATGTGGAGCAGTGGGAGGATGGGGAAGTCACAGAAAACAGGGATCGTTGTGTTGGTGCCGAAGAAGAAGGAAGGGAAAGTACTGAGTGATTATAGAGCGATATCCTTAATGTGTGCAGATTATAAAATTTATGCAAAAATTCTGGGCAATAGCCTGAAGAAGGTTCTAGGATCAGTGATACATGGGGGACAGTTTGGCATCCCGGGAAGAAGTATGAGGGACGGGCATAGTCACATAAGGGATTTTATTGAGAGCTGCACCGGAGGGGGAATACTCGGTTTAGATTGGGCTAATGCGTATGATTGTGTGAATAGGGATTTCTTAAAAGTTTGTTTGGAAAAGTTGGGTTTGGGGGGAGGGTGGTGAGATGGGTGCAAACCTTGTATGAGGGAGCAGTTATTAGGGTACAGGTTAATGGTAAGTTGGGGGACCCAGTACTGATGGAGAGAGGTTTGAGGCAGGGCTGTCCACTCTCTCAGTTATTGTTTGCCTGCGTACAGAATCCATTTTATGGGCTAGTGGATGAGGTGATGAATGGACAGGAGATAAGGGGGGGTGGGCAGGGGGGTATTGTTGGGTATGTAGATGATACTACAGTGCTGGTAATGCATGAGGAAATTCTAAGGAAAGTTGGTGGAGTCATTCAGATATTTGGGGACGCTACGGGTATGAGAGTTAATTTAATGAAGTCGAGACTATGAGAGGTGGGGATTGGATAGAGGGAGCTTGGGGGAGGGGTTGGGATGGTCAGTAGTGGACAGAATTAGGGTTTGTGGAGTATGGTACATGGCGGAAGTGCAGGATAGTAGGAAGATAAATTCGGAATTAGTTACGAGCAGGGTTTGGGTAGGCTTGGAGGCTTAAGGCTAGGACGTAACATTACAGCAGAGAGTTTTAGTGGTCAACTCTCTGGTTTACAGTAAGGTGTGGGAGATGGCTGAGGTGTTCCCTTTAAGAGCACAGGATATTGCAGAAATCCAGAGGAAGGTTCTAAGGTATGTGTGGGGGTTTGGGAGGGCATGGTTGTGCAAGGACGTGGTGATGACGGATGTGAGACATGGGGGTCTTGGCCTGATGGCATTGGGTCATAGAGTAATGGCTTTATATATTAAACAAAGATATATCCGGACTGGGGGGAACTGGGGAGTCAGGGTAGGTAGGGTAATGGAGGATGCACGAAGATGGTGGTGTGGAAGGGATTTGAGGTATTGTGAAGACATGTTGAGGGTTTTATTGAATGTAGAACAGGTGTCCAAGTTAAAGGTCAAACGGATGGTGGGTGCTGTGGTGGGTACGCGTGTCTTACAAGGGCTTGCTGTATATCCAACATATGACTGGATGAGCATATGGAGGAAGTTTGGCTTGCTTAGAATACCAGCGAGGGTACGGGAGTTAGTATATAATTTTCTAAGGGGAAATTTTTGGCCTCTAGGGATGTGTTGTGTAAAATGGGTCTTGTAAGAGAGGACTCATGCTTGCACTGTGGGGAAAACCGAAACGGCTTTTCATGTGGTATTTTTTTGTCCCTCTTTGGAGGGGGTGAGGTTATGGATGGTGAGCGTTATCAGACTTTTTTTTTGGGGGGGGGGAAATGGCCATTCCTAAGGGCTTTAATGTTGGATGTAACTGGGGTGCCGGGTGATGTGGGTAGGGTTTTTAATGTATGTCATGACGGATTATTTACATGTATCTTGGGGGATGAGGGAGGTTCGGGGAGAGTTGAGAATAAAAGCGTTAGCAGCGAGATTTTATAGAACGATGTGTAGGAATAGGCAAGTTTATGGGGGGCGGTGGGTAATTAGCTTTTCGGAGGGTTGCCGGAATCTCACTGTGGGGGGCCTCCTTCTCATAAACCCAGGGGGTTTAGGCTCCTTTGTTGTGTGGATGGTGGGAGGGCTATGAATGGAGTGGGAAGGAGATGCATGATGAATTTGGAAACCTATGGTTATGTTCACTGCATACAGGATAATCTTTAAACCATGATAACTAAATCTTAGGATCTCGGGTTTAGAGCAGAATGATCTTAATTTTGCACCCAAGTTTAACTTGATCGTTGTTCAACTTATGTTAGTGAGGTGCTGCGACCCTGCATAGTTGCTTTGTGGTAGAAAATTTTCTGCTTTTCGGTATAAAAGTTAGTGGTTGGTTAACAACAGGAATCCGGTGTTAACTACAGTTTTGGGTTGCATTTAACCCAGGTACATTTCATTGCTGTCAACAAAATTTGAATTGTTGCTTAGGTTAGCTGTGTTTATTCATGAATCCATGATCTTCGTAGTGTCAGGCTTCGTTAATTTTATTATCACATAAATGGCATCTTTCTCTAGTGTACCTAACCATGTATATGTGTGGGTTGTAATGACATATGAATATTATGATGAATTGTGAGGTATTGGTTAGGAGTGGGCAATTTTATTGTGCAATGCCCTTAATGGGGATTGAGTAAGATTAGTCAACCGGTTTTTTTCTTTAGTGTTATTGCGGAAAAAATAAGGACGGAACACGTATGAACCTGTATGTCAATATTTTAATTATATGACTATTGTATGTGCATGATGAATTTTTATTCCCATGATAATGTTCAGTATTATATCATTGTATTCTGTACTGGTAATGGTATTGATCTCCTACGTGGGACCCAAGGCCATGTACACGTGCTGACATATTAATGTATATTGTTTTTGATGGACGCACAGTATAAGCCTGTGTAACCCTGTAATTACGATAGGTGGTGAGAGATAAAAGGAAAAAGGGGGGGGGGTAGCATGCGCCTGCACGAATTAAGTGCGGTGAGTCTCTCGGCAATGAGATTATAATTATATGAAAGATTAGGAGCTAATTAATTAATTTTTAGTTTATCTTTTAGACTGTTTATAAAAAAAAAGTTTTGTAGAGGTTTTTTTGTTAGTGATGCGGATGTTGTAGCACTTATATATGTCTTCATATTTTGTGATCTGAGTCACTCGTGTATGATATACAAGTATATTGTATACTGAGGGGTTATAAATACAAAATACAAAAATTCGGGAATGAATAGCTACAGAATGCTTTGGTACAATATAAATTGAGAGGCCAAAGCATTAGTGCACATAGAAAGTTTTGTATATACAGTCATATGAGTTAAGGGCACGTAAGTAGGGTAGGATAGTAGTAATTTTTGATGTATGGTATTTGTTAATTATAAGGAATTTTTGTTTTCTTTGTATATGTTTCATGTTTTGTGAACACGTCAATTGTGTGATATACATGTCTACTGTATCCTGTGTTTTTAAATAAAATATAAAAAAAAAATCTCACTACGCAGCATATGGTACTTACTGTACCAAGTTAATCTTACCTCGTGGTAATTCAGCACTCAAGTTAAACACAGGATTTCAGAACAAATACAAATTAACAGAGACCTGTATGTTGCACAAAAATATGTTCGACTCATTTAATTCACGAAGAGTTCAGTAACTTGATTATTGATGTAGCAGGAGAGAATCTTACTGGCATTAACTATAATCACGAAATGCACTCACCGCAGTACCAACAGCTGTTGTGGCTCCCGTGAGACTAGCCCAGCTTAACTTAATACAGCGGGATTTATAGTTTCCTATGTTTTACGCTGCCTTTTATTCGTAAAAAAAATATACAGAATGCGTCAGTTTCAATTGATTTTAGATTTTTTTGAATGATATAGATTCTGCTGCTAAAACTTAACGAATTTATTCTTTATATATTTTTCATAGCCTGAACAGTAAGGATTTAGTTAATGTAGCTACGAGTCAGTTATCACGCCTTCACCAGGCTTCCTGTCCTCATGAAGGAATTACGTCTCCTGAGCTGTATGACCCTTGTGGGTTTAGCGTTTAGTTATTATAAATCACGTCTCCTGTAAGACCCTCAAGTGCTGGGTGGCACTGGTGCCACTGTGACCTGACATGTTGCTCTCCTGACCTCTCCAGGTACTTACTACCCTGTCTTATAATAATTAGTGTTTTTGGCACAACAATTAAGATTTTTTACATAACCAATAGTTAAAATATTATCCTTAAGATCGACGTTCTTTCCACTGAAGATATTTTTTAAACGTTCATATTCAGTACAAAATTGGAGGGAATATAATTAAGTTTTTCTCACAGTAATGAGTCATGTTATTACTCAAGTACTTAATTAGATCTCGGTGTTTAAATGAACATTACTCAACAACAAATATTACACTAATTACTATTATAACTAGGGAAGCTCTGAACCCGTAGGGCTCATACAGCGTATAAGAAATGGGAGACAATCAGGGTTAATCCAAAAAAGGGAGGAAAGAATAAGTCCAATTCCTTGGATCAAGAGCCCCTCACCGTCATCAAGGCACTTTTCTCAGAGAGGTCAGACTTACATTCGACATTAGTCCATGATATAATGTATTGTTACAGAAAATATGAATGTTGACCGTATGTATTGATCATGAGACTGGCAAACTAACCCTGCTTTCATGATCTTTCAAAAAAAAAAAAAAAAGGAATGGGGATGATGAAGCGTTCTTGATCCAACGAACTAGAGCTACCCTTTCCTTTCTTGGATCGAGACTGATTTACCTTCCTTTCCCCAGATGCTTTATGACACTTTTATATACTGGTGTTCAAATAGCATAATTAATTAGTATTTAAACAGCATAATTAAGGAAAATATCAGAAATATCTTGTAGTTATGACAACTCATAATTACAGATATAGCTGGAGCTTAAAACTCAAGTATTCTCATATTTTTTTCAGAACTATTGTTAACAAGAATTTATAATCTATCACCTGAAACAAATTAATCCCCAAGATGGTATCGTCGTGTCATCTATTGACTGTGAGCGACACTAAACCAGGTTATAAGGAGTCACTTACTGATCTGTGTCAGTTGGTGACCACATCTTGGCTTGTGTTTACTTACGTACAACGTGATGGCTGAATGCTTCTGCCCTAACCTTCGTCGGGTCTGGGTGTCTCTCTCTCGCCTGAGTATCGGTGACAAATTTCCCCCGTTCTCACTGGGACGCTTGTCCTCATCTATTTTGCCCGCCGGGCATTCTACAGGAGGGGCACTTGTTCATCGGCCTACTTTTAAAAGCCAGCTCAATTTTTTTTTCCGCTCTGCGGGAAATTCTTTAACGGTCTTCGGTGGGAAGCCGGTTACTGAACTCAGGTGGGGGTGTTGGCGTCCCTCTCTGCTGGGGCTTGGCAAGGGGGTCCACAGGATCTAATTGGAAACTTCAATTTTCTATCTCTATTTACAAAGGAACTTTTGTTCCTTTTCTCTCATCGCCCAGCCTTGGGCAACAATTTTTTCTCGTCCCATCGATACGACGTATCGGGCTCGATACGACGTATGCTGTCAGTGGCCCTGATAAACCCAACAAAGAAAGAAAAGAAAGAACAGCTGAATAATCAAGAAGTGAGACAGAGTTATTAATTGTGGAAATAGGTATCTACCTGGAGTCTCTTCAGGTCACCGGTGATAGTGAGAGAACCGTTACAAGAAGATACGAAAGAGGTGAATGGAGTGATGAGTTTCGAGAGAGAAAGAGTAGTTAATATTATAGTGATTGTTGTGTATCAGTAGTGGTTGATAAACATGACCTCCTCATGGAACTTTTCCTGGAGAGAAGGTAGGAAGATGGGGGGGGCTACTAGGATTTCCAAATGGATGATGTCCCTGAAGGGAGGTTCCTTGATGCTGTTGAGGGGCTTCTGATTCCAGCAATTAGACCTGTCCTCCATTTCCTTGGATCGAACCTGAATGCCCCCCATTCACAGGCGCTGCATGACCCCTACGGGTTTAACGCTTTCCTCTAAATGCACCCACAATAATTCAAGGAGCTAGGATTTCCAGGGAGATGACAAGAGTTTACAGAACGGCTATGGTTCATGGGAAAACAAGATTGTCCGGGGGTGGCAAAATATTTTTAGTGATAACGTTGTAATTCGGAAGCAAGTAAGTCCTGAGCTGTATAGCCCTTGTGGCTTAGAGCTTCTTTTTTATTATAATAAAGTAAGTCCTGAAATTTCCAAACCAGCTCTCAAACTACTGCAGTATGTTGGATTTAACTAGATCCATATAACTAGATTATATTTGTACACATTAGGAAGATAAGCATGGTCACAAATGCAGATTTTTATGGATGTATCTAATTTTTAGGATTGGCTTATGTTGGGTCGAGCTCTGATTGCTTCCTGAGTTTTTTTTTTTTTAAGGAAAGGAAAAAAATAGAAAACTTTGCATGCCTTCACTTGTATAATTTATTCAGTGATTAAGGGTAATTAATATGCTAAAATTTAAATCCCCCGCATAACATCCATCTCTCCCATCTAATGATGGGTCACCTTTTAACGTGGGAAGAGTTTGGGCCTAAGAGTCAGGAACCTTTCCATTAGGAGGAGTGCCACTCTCCCTATAGGATGCCACATTCCTCCCCACAGGGGACCACTTTCCTTACAAGGTGCTTGTCTAAAAACCCAGCATCTCTTTCGGCATAAATGGTGGGGATATTACCCCTTTGATGTACATTTACTGACATGGAATGAATATGTAGTATGGATTATTGAATTTGAAAATATGGCTTCGAAGAGTTTTACTTGATTGTTGATTATGAATTAGGTAATGAGTGAATTGATCACAGTAGTTAGTTGATTATGATAGTGTGAATTTGATTGATTATCAGCCTTTATTTAAAATGCTTAATAACCAAGTGTTTCTAGTGTTTTGTAAGTAATAAAAGTCTCGTGATCTAAGGAGCTGGGGACTATCCTTGGATCAAACATAAATGTCTCGTGCCCAAGGCGCTGTGTAACCTTTACCCATGAATATAATTTTCAGATGGTGCAGAAGTACAAGTGGTGGCTAGGTGTGGCAGGTGTGTTGGTGGGTATGACAACACTTGGGGTACTAATTGGCACAACCTGCTGGCACATGGCATACCGGGAGGCCACCCTGCACGCTCTGGCCAGGGAACAACACGCGGTGCACCTTGCAAAGGAACACTGTAGGCACAGTAAGTCGCTAATATGGTAGGATGTCCTTGCACTGAAGTTGATTTTATACGGATTATTAACCAGGAGAGTGGTCCTGTGGTCTTCTTTCTCCAAGGCACCATACTTCCCTAACACCCAAATGCCAACATATTACTAATGCTATATTACCGGCAGCTGGCGCTTTACTGTTATATAATAACTGAACTACAACGTATATTATGTTAATAGATACTCCGGGAAAGCTAGTTTGAAAAATAATTGATATTCATGCATGTCTAAGACTAGGTGGTACGAGGACACGTGCACATGTCCTACTCGTCTATTTGTCTGTATTGTATATATATACCTTTAATATAATGATGTCTAGAATAGCGTACAACAAATATATAAAGGTTTTTCCATTTTCCTAGACATGGAGGCATTGAGATCAAAAATGGCAACTGGTGCATTTATGAAGAATGATGTACCCGAGCTAGTAACTGCAGCTCGCCATACAGTGACTCTTGCCGTGCCTCAGCAAGTGCATGCAACTCCAGAACAAATTGATGCCTATCCGCAGGCGAGAGATGAGTCACATGTGAGAGAGAGGTCACTTCCAAACACCAAGCACAAGCAGACTGTGATGGTTAGCGTGTTGTTAGGCTGTAAGACATTGTCCATGGTGAGTGTGTGGGAGGCCATGGAGCAGCAGCAACAACACGGTGGCAACAGTCATCATGTGCAGCTGTCATCATTTCTTGCCCAAACTAGCAATTACTATTAATAGTAATTTTATTATTATATATGAAGCGCTAAACCCGTGTGGATAATTTAGTGCAAAGTTTGGTGGAGGTTCAGTCCTCCGTCCACTGGTCGTGGAGTAACTCGTCATCCAGAATGAGCTACTCACACTGACCGTGAGCAAAAAGTAAATTATTATTATTTTTATAATCAAGGGGGAAGCGCTAAACCCGGAGGATTATACAGCGCCTGGGGGGGGGGATGTGGAAGGCATTCAGGCTAAATTCGGGGAACTGGAGCACAGATCCAATTCCCTAAATCAAGAGCCCTTCACCAACATCAAGGAACCTTCCTTGAGGGGAGCAAAAAGTAAAGAGAAATCAGGTGGAATTAGGAAGAAAATGTTATTCTTTTTATATAAATTTGAGTAACGTTATTATTATAAGCTTTAAAAATAGCATATCACATCATGTATCTCTTTAAGAGTGTAGGGTTATTTGATCCAAGGAATTACATTATCTTTTCCTTGACAGGGGACTGATCTACTATGAAACTCAAGCTTCAGGGCCCCTAATCCCGGAGGGGCCCAGAAACGACTTTAGTCACATTGCTTAAAATTTTGGGGTCTACTGTATGAGAAGGGGTTGCGAAGGGGCCCCCATAACAGTTCAAGGACCCAAAATGTAGGTCTTCCACTGCTCCTTGGATCGAATCTGAATGCCTCCCATTCCCCATGCGTTGCATGACCTCTTCAGGTTTAGCGCTTCTCACGAAAGTCATGATATTCAGAAGTGTTTCTTGTTTGTCTTGCTCAGAGTTCTATTGCTCAAAGTTCACCCTGCTGTAGCTTAGCGCTTATTTTTGATTATAATAATAATCAACCTGCTGTCCCGTCTTCAGTAATTTGTGTATGTTCTTTTTTTTTTGTTTTAATTTCTAGAGGTCCAAGGACCTATAACTACCTCTTGTAATTATTTCCATTGATCTACCACAGTACGAAGAAAAAAATTTCTAGTATCCCTTAGGCTCCACTTTTTTCTCAGTGTATAACAATGGCTTCTTGTTATCCCCGTTGCAGTTACAAGAAAATCCTCTTTATCTAATCTTTGTCGTTATATGCTGTTTTTACTTGCAATCAGCCAGCGTGAGCTTCTTTAGTACTTACAGTTTTTCATCATAACTTAAAATAACTCTTCGTAATCATTTTGTAGATCTTTGAACTTGTCTATTGTATCCACAAGTTTCTTTTAAGGTATGTGAACCACTCCACAGCTGCAGATAACAATTTTAGCCTAATATATGGTATAAACGGCTTTTTCAACATTTTTTCCATCCAGATATTGAAAATCTGTTTTGTAACTCGCTTGATTAGCAAATGAGTTTCTCACATTTTCGTTTTTATGATGTTCCAGTAACTTTTTAATTAAAATAACTCATAGGCTTCTTTATATGAGACGAAATATTTTGTCTGTATTGTATAATTCTACTGGTTTAGCGCTCCCCCGTGATTATAATAATAATGTCAGTCTGTATTCTTCATGTGGTCTGATTTCACTCACTTTTTTATTACATGACACTTATCTACATTCCGTTTACTTAATTTATCCAAGTTATCTTGAAGAGATTGTTCTTTTATTATTAGAGCTCCTCTTCAAGGGGGGCTCCTTGGCGTGGTGAAGAGGCTCTTGGTCTGAGGAATTAGACCTATCGGTCTTCTTCCTCAGACCGAACCTAATTACCCCCCAATCTCCCCTCCCCTATCCCATCCTCCCCATCCTCCCCTTTTTCCTTTCCTCCTCCTCCTCCCCACTCCTCCCTTTTGCCCTTCCTCTTTTTGTCCTTTGGGATTTCTCCCACAGGTGCGCTAGTTCCTGGGTAGGAGAAAGGATACCGGGGTCCATCCCATTCCGTTGAGGTTCTTAGCGGTGGCGTAGTTTGCCGTGGAATCTGGATCGCCTGGGGATGTCCCGATCGATCCCTCTCCGGTATCCCGGAGTAGCTTTGGGTGTCTTTCGGGCGACGAGTGTATCTCTGGAAGCCACCTTTCGGATTCCGGGGGTGGTGGCCGAAGGAGGTATGCTTTGTGGCGGATATCCGGCCGCCCTCTCTTTTGTCCACCGAGGTAGCTCGGCAGATGTGAGGTTGCTATCCCAGATTGTTAGTTTACTAGCATGATGGGTAGGGTATGGCACGGGTTCCATGCTGCATCTGCGCTACTTGCGGTGCTGAGGTCCTCTTGGGCGCGGAGGGAGATTTCTGGCCCTTTCATTCCTCCTAGGAACTATCCCTCCCCGGTCCCCCCCTTTTTTTTTCTTTTTTTTTATTTTTATTTTCTTTTCTTCTTTCTTTTTTTTCTTAAAAACAAAAAGAAAGAAGTAACCTAACCATGGCAGCCCTAGTCCATGAACCTGGTACCCCCGGGCCCCTTCTTGATACCGCACCCCGTTCTGACCCCGCCTCGTCTTTGGACCACTCTTCAGACATTCCTCATGCCTCTGTACCTATTGCCGGTGCTGTTTCCTCACCCGCTTCAGGTACTGAGGCCTCGACTGACTCCTTCGATTTATCAGACCTTCGCTCTCCTCTGACTATGCTTCCAGCCTCTCCCTCTACGGTGCGGCAATTTTCAAATCGCCGACCCGTTCCACGTCGGACCAACTCTGGTCCCACGCCTAAACGTCAACGACAATTACCTGCTGATGATACTTCTCCACCTTCACCTTCTCGTTCTTCTCAGAAACGATCGACAACGTCCTTCACTACCTTTCCACGCTCAGTTTCAGACTGAACAGTGGACTAATTCTTCACTTTACGACCAACTTCCTCTACTGCTATCTTTCTGACCATAGTATTGGCAAGGCACTTCTACGCCATGTTGGTAAAGATATTTCTTTTCATGCTCTTAAGAGCGGTACGCGCATCATTACCGTACAGAATGCTACCCAGGCTCGTGAGCTCTCTCGTCTTTCCCATATAGATTACTGTTCCTGTCACCCTTGAAAAAACATCATTCCCTCAATTCTTGTAGTGGTACCGTCATTCTGCCCCATACCATAGTTCAACAACAATTTTCCAGACATGTGGCACCGACATTCTAGAACAGCTGGAACTCCAAGATCTCCCAATCCTCAAGGTAGACACTTACGTTCTTCCTGCCCGTGGGCAGAGACGATACCCTAGCAATGTGGCTCGTTTAACTTTTGACAGCCGAGAACTCCCATCCTCAGTTTATATAGCAGGACATCGGTTACAAGTTCGAAAGGTGATCCCTACACCACAACAGTGTAGAAATTGCTGGCGATTTGGCCATCCAGCGAAATATTGCAGATCTATCGCCGAATGCCCAGTCTGTGGTGCCGATGACCATTCTAATACGTCTTGCAATCGATCTCCCTCTTGCCTTAACTGTCATGAGGCTCACCCTTCGTACTCTCGCCGTTGTCAGGTCTATTTAAACGAGCGGGAAATCCGTTACCTCAAAGAGACAGAAGGTCTCCCTATGCCATGGCAGTTTCTCATCTCCGCCTCCAAGGGAGACTCCCACGTGTTCTTATTCCCGTGTTTCAAAACGTCCCCCCACTTCTGGTATCCCATCTTCTACACCCACCTCTGTGGTTACCTCTCCCATAATCACTCCTGTATCTAATCCTTTTGCTGTCCTCGGCTCAGACGTCCCTACTTCAACGCCTCAGTCTAATCTCGCTTCTTCGAGTTCTCTCTTACAAGCCTCAGTGTCGACGAGACCTCGTACGACACCTCTTCCCAATCGTCCCTCTACTTCTCAAAAGTCAAAAAAAGGTCCGGTAACACCTCCTACCCATCTTCCACCTCCTCATTTTACCCTCCCTGTCTCTGTCCCTAGTTCTTCCCCTCTCACTGGCTCAGTTACAAGTGCAGAGGTTCACCCTCCTCCTCGTAATGTACCTTCCTCCCCTGTTCCCTCCCAAGTTTCTTCCTCTTCTGCCACCTCCCAGGTTCCTGTCTCTTCTGTCCCCTGGCACGCTTCTCCAGTTCCCTCCACCCTTTCGCCCCCCCCTACCTTGGTACAGTCCAATACAGTTCCAATCTTTACTCATCCTCCCCCTACCATTCCCAATATTGTCTCCCATACGACATCTCTGAATTCCGAAACACTTGAAGCAATCTCTGAATATATTGCAGAGACCAAACCATCAATGGACACTGATCCACCTTCCGCTCTTTCTCTCTCCTCTGCTCCATCTGCGCAACTCCTTTCTTCACAGCGCACCGTTCCTTCGCTGCTTGAACATTTTCCACTGCCTCCGCATGTGGACTTTTCTAACCCTTCTAGTCCGTAGGAACCCTTACCTGCGGATTTCAAGTATCTTTATCATTGCCAATCATGGCCTCTTTACAGTGGAATATACGCGGCCTCAGGGTTAATCAGGGTGAGCTTCAGATGTTACTCTCCCAGTTTGCCCCTATTGGTGTTTGCTTACAGGAACCAAAATTACACTCTGCTGTTATTTCTCACATCTCAGGCTATAATTATTGTATTCTTCAGATCCTTTTCCTGATGGGACCTTTAATGAAAGTGCCCTTCTTCTCCGCACTGATATTCCGTACCATCAGCTATTTGTTCATGCTTCGCTGCATTACACAGCAGCCCGTATCCACTTACATAGGTGGTATACGCTCTGCTCTTTATATCTCTCCCTTCTCGGGCATTTATCTATTCCGGATTTTGCCTTCCTTGTTTCGTCATTACCGCCACCGATTCTGTTACTTGGTGATTTTAATGCCCACCATTTCCTCTGGGGGGGGTCTCACTGTGATTCCCGTGGAATTCAGTTAGAGGCTTTTCTTGCCACCCACCCCCTCCATGTTTTAAATACAGGTACTCACACCCATTTTGATCCTCGGACTCATACTCTCTCTTGCATCGATCTCTCAGTTTGCTCTTCCTCTGCCGCATTAGACTTCACTTGGTCTGTTCTCCCGGACTTACATGACAGTGATCATTTCCCAATCATTCTTACTTCCCCTTCATATTCGCCACCTCTTCGCACCCCACGCTGGCAATTTAATCGGGCAAATTGGAACCTTTACTCACACCTGACTGTTTTTAAAGAGGTTCCTTCTTCGTCCTCCATCGATGAGCTTTTACACCTCTTCTCGTCCTCCGTTTTCACCGCAGCTTCTCATTCTATACCCAAACTTCGGGCAGGCATCTCAGAAATGCGTGCCTTGGTGGTCTCCTGCTTGTGCTCGTGCAGTACGTTTGAAACGCGCTGCATGGGGCAGGTACCGGTACAATAGAACCACAGAGCGACTCCTTGATTTTAAACAGAAGTGTGCGATCGCTCAGCCGTGTCAATCCGTGACGCTAAAACGCACTTGCTGGCGAGATTGTCTCCACCATCACCTCTGCTTCCTCTATGAGTGCAGTCTGGAAAAAAGTACGAAAACTGAGTGGTAAATATTTCTCCTGACCCGGCTCCTGTTCTGCGGGTTGCCGGTGTTTATATAGCAAACCCACTAGATGTTGCCAATGAAATTGGCAAATCATCTGGTCCGTATTTCTCAGGGACTCCATCTATGCCCCTCATTTCTTTCCTCAAAGTCTGCCAGAGAGTTAGCACCCTTGGACTTTTCTTCTCTCAGAGAAGAACAGTATAATGTGCCTTTTACACTTCAAGAAACTGGAGGCAACACTCTCAGCTTGTCGATCATCGGCAGCTGGGCCGACGACATTCATATTCGTATGCTACAAACATTTACATCAGTCAGCCCTTGCAGTCCTATTACGCCTTTACAATCTTATTTGGTCACAAGGAGTTCTTCCACAGCTGTGGAAATCCGCCATTGTTCTCCCTTTCCGCAAACCAGGCACTACGGGACATGAAACCTCCCACTATCATCCCATTGCTCTTACCAGTGCAGTTTGCAAAGTAATGGAACGTCTAGTAAATAGACGTTTAGTGTGGTATTTAGAGACACACAACAGTCTCTCCACTCGTCAATATGGCTTTCGTAAGGGACGTTCTACCATAGACCCTTACTGCGCTTGGATACGTATGTTCGTAATGCCTTTGCGAATAACCACTCAGTTTATTGCCATATTTTTTGACCTTGAGAAGGCATATGACACAACTTGGAGGTATAATATTTTAGCCCAAGCCCACTCCTTAGGCCTTCGAGGCAATCTACCATCCTTCCTTAAGAACTTTTTAACTGACAGGCATTTCCGTGTTCGGGTTAATAATGTGCTCTCCCCGGACTTTATCCAAGCTGAAGGTGTCCCCCAGGGATGTGTTCTGAGCACAACACTTTTTCTCCTTGCTATTAATGATTTGGCCTCTAGTCTTCCATCAAATATTTGGTCATCACTCTATGTTGATGACTTCGCTATTGCCTGTGCAGGCGCTGACTGTCACCTCCTTACAGTTTCTCTCCAGCATGCAGTCGACCGGCGTTTCCAATTGGGCCACCACACATGGGTTTAAATTTTCCAGCACTAAAACCCACCAAATCACTTTCACTAGACGCTCTGTCATCTCCGATCATCCTTTGT